AGTGATCTTGCTCAGGAGCTAAATGCTGACGCACATGCGCCATCTCCCTTCTTTTTCGGCACCGGCACCTAGTTATGCCCAAAGGTGCTGGTCGTTCCCGGCAAAAAAGGTATATTGACGCCTGCTGTTTAGTCTCCTTTTAATGCTGTGTTGCTTTCCGGTACTGTGGCAAGTAGTGTGGAGTCAATCAAAAGGCTAATGCAATACGATGCGCTGGACGGCCAGCATGTGGCTGGCCTGCAGGCAGCTCGTTCTCATTCAGCATATCCACGAATTCTCCCCTGAATTTTCTTATTCTCTCTGTTTTCCGACTTAAATTTCAACGGCATTTTCTACTCAAGAACGAGTATAGCAACTATGACGTGATGTGGGCCATATTCTCTTATTGCTTGTTAGCCGCCGGCATGAACACTTTGCTTTACATTCTTGGGACACCCACGTGACTTTGTGACCAGAGATGAGATGAGCCTTGCTGAAGAAGCCATGTGTTGCTGTTTCCTAGCGCTGTCTGCAACACTAACCTCTCCTTCGCGCAGCTGTGATCACATGGGGGCCTCCCATTAAGTTGCCTACGGCATGTCAACGATTACGTCACGTTGCACGAGTCCAGCATAGAAGTCATGGACCATGATGTAAGGACAATTCCAATTCAAAGTGACATTAAAATGTCGAGCCTTTGCTAATCCTTTTATTATGGTACAGGCCAGCAAGCCTGAGCTTTACGCACTGCGCGAAAGAGCGCACAAGCAGAGTGCACTTCTGTACCGCCTCCTTAAATACCAAATTCACTTCATGCCAAGTATCAAATGGCGCTAACAGTTCTTGAACATGATGGTGCACCTTGTTTAGTGTATGATTGCCTCGTATTGAGTCTTGAGCTGAGGCTCTATCCTATACGGCCCCTGCGCTGCATCGCACACTGCATGTGGGGATTACCATTCCTTGATGTACCGTTTTTTGCTCGCCACGGTGCTTGCTTTTGGTAGGCTCAGTCCCGGTATTAAATGTTTCGGGTTTTTGCATGTGCTTTGCAATTCTCCATTACATGACCCAATTTCCCACAATAAAAGTACGAGTCACTAGGGGGCTGACTTGGGCTGTTGAGGGGCACGAAGTCTTTCTGGATTTCTTTTCTGGATTTCCTCAGGCTGTAGGCTAGGGCTGGCTGACTAACTCAACATCCAGAGGCTCTACATTCTAACTTGGATCATCCTTCTCAGCCAAGGACGAAGAAAATAGGCTTATTTGCTCCTGAAACCTCGAGTATTCCATCAATTGTAAACTGCGAGTAGTCAGTTCTTTAATTGCTGAGTGTCTTGCGCTCCTCCGACCACCTGACATGGCACTGTTTGTACACTTGATATAAGCCGCTGCTCAAGCAGGTGTGCGTCTACAATACAGCTTGTGCGGGGCAAATCTGCCAAATTCTTTACCTGATGAGCTTTTCTTGGATGGCCTTGCCGCTTTATTTTGCTCAGTTCCCTCAAAGCAAGCTGGCCGATTCCGGCATAAGCCGGGGGGTAAGTGCTTGCACACAGGCTTGAGCTGCAAAGCCTTTTGCTCGCAGGCAACTTCCTTGGCCATTATAGAGCGGCCCTTCAGGTACTCCTCCCTAAGAAAAGATGAGCAAGAAGCCTACAGCTATATCCGTTTGCTAGGTACGAAGCGTGGTGCTGCTTCGAAGGGCTGCTGAACTCTTCCAGTGGTTGACCATCCATATGGGTGTAATACTTTTCTTCTTGGCATGACCTCGTTGATGCACCCATGAACATCTTTTCGGCTCATGAATCATGACTTTATACCCGCTGTGGATCTGCTGCTTCAAATATGCTATCAGCCGGCATCTGCAGCGCCAACAGGCGGTGTGCCACCGTCGGCTTCCATCGCCTGAGGGTTTCTCTTTGAAACACTTGCAACAGAGAAGCAAATTACTGAAGCGAAAAATGGCTTGGTCAATGCTCGATATTTTTTCCCAGGAATCCGGATATTCTACCACACACATAGCCAATGAATGAGCAAAGGGCAGCTACATCAAAGTGTGTGGTGCCAGCAAATGCAGCTGTCTATCTCAAGTCCCCGTTTGGATGCAAGTAAGTACAAACTTAGTAGAAATTACTGAGTCGTTTTAAAGAGCTCTCTACTTTTGCCTCAGAGTTCCGATATGAGGGGATAGGGATGGCTTGGATGCGCGGGGCCGCACTTATTAGGCCCGAATATTCACAACTAGTTTTACGTTGCATTCTGCACACATGCACCCAACATGATGCTTTCTTGAATCGAGCTAGAAAATACTGTGCAGCGCATACGAAAAATAAACAAAATATCAAGAATTCAGCTCTTCACCAGGTTTTGTTCAAATTTAATCTGAGTAGTAGAAAGTGCATGGGTGTACCTTAGTCCGGAGGAGCAATGGCTGTCTGATCAGAAATCTGCCTTCGTTGCCAGATCCCTGCGTCTTGGGAGCATGTTTAGTGGACCATTTAGACTGTAAAGGTCCGAGAGGCAATTTTTGCAAGCACTAAGGCTACCTTCGTTTATCTACTGAGGCTAAAAATACTCGTGCATAGTGTCTGTCTCGAATGCTGACGTCGCCTAACTGCTTCAGTTAGATTAACTCCTGATTCTACACGTTCCATAAGTCACTAGTCAGCAGCACCTGGCTCCAACAAATTTAGGGCTAGCTCTTGGATGAAGGTCTAGACCAAAAGCGCTTCTGGTTCAATTACATGTGCTTCATGTCAGTTGGGAGGTCTGAGATTGAGTTTAAGGCACTACGCGTTGTGTGCTGCTTCAAACACTCGAAATTACACCCTAAACAGTTTAGAATTAGTGATTTGCACTCTAGGCAACACTGGAAAGGCTTCTTAGTAATGCACTGAACCCTCCCCACGACAACGCCTGGTGTTTTCAGCGTAAGGGTAGGAACAGCCACCACGACTCGTGCTGCCAACTGCGCTCCAAACCCTCACTGTAAACAGAACACCGTAAAAACAGATGCAAAAGTGATATATTTGAGACATAATGGAAATGTGTTTTTCACTATCTATATGTCCTCTGGCGCGTTGAGCGCCATCTGGCGCCCCGCCTGTACCACTGGTCTGTTAACCCTGAACAACAAAGCCCAAACCCCAAGTCCTAAGCTGAAATCCCCCAAACAAAGCCTTCCTTTTTCTAAAATATTATGCTGACTTGGCCAAAGAATTAAAGGAACAAGCCACCAGACACTGCTGTTGCATGCCGCTCGTGTCTGGAGGATCCACACCAAATAAAGGCTTACTGTTTCTAATATTGGACCTTGGTTCCTTGTTTTTCATATTCAACTAGTCTGGACAACGAAATGCACATTTGAGCAGATGATTTCTAAGCGGCCATTCTGCATAAACCTCTTGCATACTCCATTGGCTTTTCCGCTTGCTACTGTTTCGTGGGTAGAGAAAACCATTTGCGTCTTACATTTTAAGTTGTTGGATGCGGTGCGTTGAGAGTGTCCATTCAACCAGATGGCCTGCATTCACTAAAAAGGGATATTGCTTGTATGTGGAAGCCGTTTCACTGGATTCCTCGCTCGCAGTGGTTACTGTTTTTCTTCTCTCCATTGGGCCGTTATCTCTTCTTGAGCGAGCCATTTGTGAGTTCATTTTGTCCAATTGCCTGCTTTGTCTTGCTGCTACCAGTTACTAGCAGAAATGCGTCTCAGAAGGTCTCGCCACTATTCCTGCTTTGCCTTCTCGAGAAGTTACCTCCTCGCTGCTAATCTTTTGGGACAGAGGAACTATAATTGCCTTGCCTCAACTCCCTTGTCTCTCTCTTTCTCTCGCTCTAATTGCTAGCCCGTAGGGGTTCTTGGCCAGTCCCTGTATTCATCGTTTCTGCAATTCACTGTGGGGTCTCTGCGCTTTCTTCTTTTTACTACACTTTCCCTCCTGATCTTTCTCAAGCCTGGAATCAATTTTCTAAACTTTAAGTCCTATATCAGAACGGTAGGCGTCAGAGCCCAATCTACCTGCTACAAGTGTTTGCGTACACGTGTGTGCGTGTGGGCTTGCGTGTGCCTGTGTCTTGTGTCAGTGTGCATTGCTTCAATGGCGCTGTCTCATATGCGGTGTCCCAATCCTTTATCGCCATCTCAAGGGCTACACTTGTCCCTCTGCTGCACCGCCTCACGCGGTATTCTCATTTCTGCCCTGGGAGCTTTTCTCTACTCTTGCACTGGAGTCCTCACTAAAGTCATTTGCTCCGCCGGCATGCCCATTCTCAACGTAAACTCTAAACCCTCAGCATTCCTATGTCAAAACAAAAAGACTTCACCCTTAATCCGTAGCCATGTGCTGGCAGCAGACGTATTTGCATATGTGGCAGATTTCTTAAGTGACCAGACATCTACCTAAGCCCTTGACGGGAATGCCCTAAAGCCCAACATCAAGCTCTACACCCCACACCGAATTTGCATTATTCTCTTTGTTGTTGCCATGTGGGCGTTTTGCGACTTAGCTCTTACTTTATCGGTTTATTTGGCAATCTGCTTTGTGCGTGGGGATCTGCTACTTTGCTCGGATCAACCCCTTCAAGTATCTCAACCCCAAAACATCACTCGCCAAGTTCCTCTACGCTCGAGGCATCGTTGCAGTCATCTGTCACGGTGTGCCGATGCTACTGCCATTGTTTATACTTCTGCTAATGCTGAAGTCACGGCTTTGCTGCTGCTGTCTGCCCCCTATCTTTGTTTTTCATCTAGTAGCAGCTGCTGGCACCCTTTACATGGCTGCCACTTGTGTTGCCTGTTGTTGGCAAGCAATACCCTTGTGGTTGACAGCCGCTGAGCTTCGATTGCACTCCTAGATGCTCCATTGGTAAATTCGAGCAGCTACACTACCCTTGTGTTCCTTTTTTTGATCTTTGTCCGATCATTTGTGTTGACGGCATACCTCAGCTCTATACTACGTCTCCCTTTCAAAGCTGCCGCTTGGAGATGCGTCAGCAGTTGGTCTCTCGGCTACAATATGGGCTGCATTCCTAGGAGCTATCATTCAGCACGAAGGGCTCGGATGGTAAGCGTCTCTTTGTTCCAAGCGGTGTTCTTCTTTAAGTTTGCACTATTGGTTGAGCTTGTGGTGCTGTTGATCGTAAAGTTTGGTTACTGTTCCAGGTTGTGGATGATGGTGGCACTTTGCTCTGTGGGGATCCTGCTGATTGCAAAGCCAGGGGCCATGAACGAGGCACTTGGGGGCGGCAGTAAGCTCTACGCCCTACAGCGGCACCTAACATCCTAACTTTCACCGTTAGGCAAACGGTCGATTCCCGCAGCCCGAACCATGCATTTGAGGCTGCACCAGTTTTACAAATGCGTTTTCCCATCAGAGCACTTCCATTGATGGCCCTAAATCCCAGTGTTTTCCGGCTTACGATTTATCTGCAGCGCACCCAGCTGAAAACTCTGGAAGTGAAATAGAGCTGATCCAGAGCCTGGACACAGGAGGGGCTTTTTTAATCCTTATCATCGGGTCTTTCCTGCGTGCGCCCTAAAACTCCACCAGGCCTACACGCTTGCACAAGAGATTTGGCGGAAGTTTGTTCCACAGTGGAATCAAACTCCCGGCTTCCGAGGGTCACTGGTGGCATGTAGCTGCTCCAGCTCTTGAAATAGCAGCAAAGAAAGCAAGGACAGTAGATACACCACAATCAGCACTGTATCTTGCAGCAGGAAAATTAGGGAGTCCTTGTTCCGGGTGTCTGCTTTGGGTGACCCCATAAAATCGCAGCATCTTCCCTTCCTTGATAACTAAGCATTTCCCCTCTTTTTCTTATCCTGTACTCGTATCCATTGATTATGACGCATGGCTGTACTTGCCCCCAGTTTCCTGTTCGCTGTAATTCCATCCTTCAGTGGGCTGCTTTGCTTGCTGCAGACGGAGTATCGTTTGTTTTGGGGCGGCATGTCGCAACGCGGGGTCCCCCCGTGCTGTCGATCCTGCTCATGATGTTTTTCGGTCTTCTCTGCTTTCTGCCGCTGGTGCTCTTTGTCTCCCCCTTTAAGGCCGAATTCTTTCAGGACCTGCAAGCAGAACAAGGCGTCGCGCTCGCACGTACGGCACAAAAGCATAAAGAGTGACGATGCTCGGCAGTCAGCAAGTCCTAAGTACAAGAATGCATTAAACGTTATGCTTTCGCTGCACATGTGCTCTATATTGCGACGGCTTGTCTTGTGGATGGTTGGTGCAGTGATTCCTTGCTTGGGATTGGGGGCGCAGCTCTGCCTCATCTCTGCACTCGAGTTTGAGTCTGCAGCCACCATCGCGATCGTTCAGAATCTAGACGCTGTCTTCAGCTACGTCTTCCAAGTATATCTTCTAAACCCGACGCTTAAGTCGCTAAGCGATTGTCTGCTGATCCACGGAGAGACTTGGCCCTGGAATAATCTAGGTAGCAACCTGTGATGTCATAGTCAATTGGGCGCAGTACAGCCCGGAACTGTAATGCTGAGTGGGCGTTTGACTGTTCAGCTAGTGATCGGTGAGGGGTTTAACTTTGCGTCTCTCTGCGGCGCCACTTTGATCGTTTTCTCCGCCATTGTACTTGGATTTTTCACCATAAAAAACTGGATTAAATCGGACAGAACCCCCTGCGGCACCAATGCTGCTGAAGGGGAGTTTTGTACTGATGAAATGGCTGCCGAGCAGCAAGCGGAGGGAGGAGTCGTTGGTCCTGCTACGGAATACGCAGCAGCAGATGCAGCAGCAATAGCAGCTGCAAACACACAGAACAGCACCCCCACACTCTACACATCTATCAAGATGACTCAGCAACAACTCGTAACAGGTCCGAAACTCCAAGGAACTCACTCTCGCTGCAGCAGCAGTAATAACAGCGAAGGCAACAACACAAGATCCAAGCCTGCAACGGATGCGATCCCCCCTGGAGCCACCAACGAAACGACGAACACTGTGGAAAGCGACAGCGACCTCAGCGATGGAGCACTAGACGTTAAACCCTAAAATCATGGTATTCGGACTTTTCGCAGGATGATTCAACCACACCGCCAGTACTGTTCACGGGACACCATCGCGTTTTACTTTATGAAGCTTTACCGTCAGCAGCTAGACACATGAGGAAGACAAAAAACGAAAGTTCTAGCAAACTGTTGCAGAACGTGCGGCAGGTACAATTGTGTAAACTACAAATACTGTACATAGGTATGGATACTCGGAGATCCACCCGGTTGCGCGAACGGCAGAGCCAGGATAGGCAGCGGCAGCCCGGCTGGGAAACACGGAAGGGAACACATTTGGTCTGAGCGTCTGCCAGTTGTACGTGTCTACAATATTTCGTACTGTGAGGCTAAACCACAGCAGCAGCACTTGCCCCCAATTTCTGAGCTTTGTCCTGTGTAAATCACAAAAGAAACAGTGGCAGCAATCAGAAGATAGATCTAAATAAGCTGATGCATTCTTAGTCCATAAGCTATGCCCTAGCAGCTGCTGGAGCTCCGCTTCATGCTGCTCCTAAGCCACCTGACAGGCCCTCTCTGTGGCAGCTCCTGATGTTGCTGCAGCAAATCTGCAAGGGGAGTGAGGTGCTGCTGCTGGGAGTGCATGAGCTGCGATCCCGCAGTAGCGCGTGGCAATGTTTGAGCTCTGTTATAGTGCCCTTCGTGCACTCAATGCTTGAGGATACGCTGCTTTTGCAGTAATTGCAGCTGCATATTCTGCTGCTGCCTAAGCACTGCTGATACTATGGCTGCTTTTGCTGCAATAGCTACACTAATGAAAATTCTTCAGTGACACTTAGTTGAACTGCACATGCTTCCCTTGCTGCTTCGGAAAGTGCCACACTAAGGTAGCTCCAGCAAGGGCTGCAGCAGCAACTGGAGAAAATTACAAAGGCTTCTGCAATTGTTTTCGCAGGTTGTCCAATTCAAGCTGTTGCTTCTGCAGCAGTTGCTGTTGTTCCTGGATTAATTGCTCCTGCTGCTCTAATTGCTGCTGCAGTTGTTGCCCGCTAGTCCGGCTGCTACGACTGCTAATCAGCTGCTGAAAGCGTGATATGCAACGCAGAAGTTTCAACCAGTCGACAATCGCCTCCTTCATTAGCATATCCCCTTTGTATCTGCATAAAAACAACTACTAGGAATTTGTGGTGTACCGGTCAGGTTGTCGTGAGTTGCTCTAGCTACTGTTCATAGCCGCACTCACCCGGCCATGCGCATGTGTGTACATCTAAGCTACAACTGCGCCATAAATGTTATCCGGATGAGGCTAGTGCCAGAAATACATGCAGAAACGCCACCAAGTTATGCAGCATCTGAGCCACAGCCCTAGGAACAGTAGAAGCAAGAAAGGCGACAGATGCTAGTTGTGCAAACTTCTTACCGCGTTGCACGGGGATTTAAAGTGGCATCTGCTTCATCATCAAATAATCCTAATTGGTTCTGCTGCATGTGCTGCTGCGCTTCCGTAAAGCGCACCGGTTTAGGAGTGAAATACAGAAGTGCGGGAAGCGAGGAAACTCCGATGCTGCGGCACAGCGCCCTAGCATCGTGACCATCATGCTGTGGCTGCTGCGCGCAGTCAAAAGCTGCTGTTTTGAGTGGCTGTTCCCTCGCCTTGCACTTTTTTTTAAAGAAGGAGGGGGATGACAAAGAAAACAGGGAAAGACCCCCGCGCAAGCTCTGCTGAAAAGAGTCTGCCGCTTGGCGCCAGGTCTGCAGCAGCATCCTGTGGCCGAAGACACCAAAACACACATCCTATAAACCAGTATGGCAATGGCAGCCTTTTGCGAGAACGTCAACAAGAGAGACTATTAGATTTGATGAAGGAAACTTGGGGCGAGCTCCTTTCTGCAAATCTCCAAACCACATAACATCGTTGAGCTGTGTAGAAGCGCTTTTCTGGCCTGGGCAGTGCCCATGCCGTAGGGTCTAGGCTTTACATGCTGCTGGAGTCCCACGAGGCGAACAATAACACCGCTGCCTCAGTATTGTCTGTGCTGTCGCTAATTGCAAGGAGATCGTCGATTGGCAGCAATGGAGCTACATCTGCAGCAGTATCAGAAGTACCACGCCGCAAAACGCATCAACCGAGTACTCACTAATGGCTTCGTAGGCAGACAAAACACCAGATACTTGGAGAAACAACAACAGCACCAGGAACGTCAACAGCGCACATGCTAAAAACAACACATTGCTCAGCGCAGCAGCAAATACTGGTACCTTGAGAACCATTGTCTTCTTCGACGGCGCCTAGATGCCCCCTGGGCGTTCCTTGCTGCCAGAGCCGCAAGAAGCTATGTACTTCCCAGCATTGCAGCAAGAAGACGAGGCACAGCAGGGGACTCATTGCAGGGCTCATCGGCCTAGAGCACACACCCGCAGCCTAGCTCCATATAATTTAAACTGTGACTTCACCTGAGGTACAGAGAAGAAATACTGTAAGGAAGGAGGGGACTGAACAGCAGAAAAGCCGAAAAGATATGAGGGCCCCCCCCAAGGGGTGGTAGGTACCTTCGGCATCCACAGTGACAGGATCTCCATGCCAAAACTCCAAGCAGCAAACCGTAAATTACCACATTCGACGTAAATTATAGAGCAAAAACGCAACTGTTACGGGGATTTCAGTTGCCCAGTGCTATACCCCACGCCTTCTGCTTGTGTATGGAGGCTTCATTCGGACCCAGTGTGCTGCGGTCCAATTCCAAAAAGCCCAAAGTACTACGAATTAAGCAGTTGGCAGATCCTATGCCATAAATCCTAATAGACTATTACTAACGTCCAATTATGGGGCTCTAGCATTGGCTACTGGATTATCCCAGGATTGCACCCGTCGCCAACACCACGGAAAGAAATAGTGAAGTTAAGTAAATCATTCATGGTTATAGGTCCACGCCCTTGATGTAGTATGACGGCCTAAGCATAGGGATGTATATCTCTAGGATTTTGCTTAGGAGTAATAGGGGAACAGCTTTTTGTGGCGAATCAATTTCCAGAGGGCTTGGCGATTACGGTTTGGTGCTGGAGATGTCCTGTCCTGGCAGTTTCCATTAAAGGACCTTTCTTCTTCTAGTGTCTCTGTAGGCAAAATTCAATAAGTGACCCTTCAGATTTGCAACGCAGAGCCCTCGGCACTATACGTGGACCCAGCTCCAATCCGATACCCTTGTTCTGTAGTCAATGCCCTGACCAGCGGACGCTTGATGCTCGCAAGTTAACCTAACACACCACCTCTGCCGCTAAGCATATCTATAGTTTAACTAGCTGGACGTTTCTGAAGTCGCTTACAACAGGCCCTGTAGGGGACTGATGGACTGTGACGCGGCGGGATCTGTAGCCAGTCCCCGTCAGCAGGCCTCTAGTTTTCACTTCAGCTGATTCGTTGCACCTGGCTTAATTCTCTTGAAATCATGAGACAGAAACGGCATCGTGGTGCCGAGGACGTTATACTTGTAGATATGTATGTGGAAAATGCAGCCACAGTGTGATGCAGCATGTGGTTACGGCTACTGCTCCCACAAGCCATAGGCTGATAAGTGCGGGACTGCCTCTAAAGTCTGAAAGCGGAGTTATCAATTGGACCCACAAACGAAGTCCGTATGATCGAAGGGCAAGTGTCAACTGTGAGCTGGCAACCGTAGGGGAACTCCGGGTTCATTACAAAAATCTATGAATAAATCACGGCTCTTGAGAACCCCCTTTGCTATGCCACAGGTCAGATACCCACCTAGTAAGTGTACCACAGAGGCAGAATCTTCTTTGCCCAAAGTCGAGTCTTGATATTTGTACAGGCTGCGCAGACAGCTTGATATCAAGGACCAACATGCGTTTTAGCGGGCTGAGGTACGATCCATTAGACTCTACTCCGCTGATTGTACTTAAGTGAAATACTTAGTTTGTCTGCTCGTATAACCTATTTGCTGGAATGTACCCCTAGCTCAATACAATAGCAATCTATGATGTGTACGTGTGCACTAGCAGAAACCCTCAAAATCTCTGTTTCTCCTCCCTCATCTCGGCACCCCAAGAGGCTAGCGAAGGGAATGACAGGAAGGCTATTCCAAAGCCTACTCGAATTCGCTTCATCATGTTTGGACTGAGTCTGAACTGAAGTGTCTCCCTACGGCATTCGTAGGTGAGACATTGCGTTTGGCCATACTACATGGTCCAATGCGAGTGTTTCCCAGCTCATCCATTGGTTGTGAGGTTGCGAGTGCAATGAGATGTTTGGCATTATGGCTTTGAACAATTCCTCTATAATCTTAATAGTCTCAATTTCTTTTGCGACAAGGGCGAGAAAACTCTCAAGCGATGAAGGGAGACGTTGGCACAGCTCCTGTTGCCGCCACAGAGGCCAGCCTGCAAACGTAAGTGAATGCGATAGCTCCACAGCCGGTAGGACTGGTATGGTTTGTTCACCGTAGAACTGTTTATGGATGCGCCAAGAAGGGTATGCCGACTAGGTAAGTATGGCGTCCAAAAGGATGGGCAACTACTCGAAAAATTCATTAGCCTTTTGAATATGCATCCGGTGTTGCACCGCGCACATACATATAAGCGAGCTCTTCTTGCGGTAGGCTTGCAGAACACAGAAGCAATTTGATGGTGGTTCTAATAATGCAAAGAACTTTGCCTACCTGCAGAGATTTCTACAGATTCAGCCTTCGCAAACTATGGTACACCGATGCAGCGCCGGTATTAGCCTAAAAGCAAGTTTTGAAAGAACTGGGGAACCTACCCCAAGGCAATCCATGAATAGATCGATATATCCAGAAACATATCCAGAAAAATGATACTTTGCTTCGCTAAAGCCACAAGGTACATGAAGGGCTCTTTTATTAGTGGATTACTTGAAGTCTACTAAAGTGCCGCGTCATGTGGTCCCAGGATGGCAAACGACATTGCCGTCAGACCGCCGACTGCAGCAGCCTTCACAAACAATAGGCTACTCGAGGTTCCAGGAACAACTGAGCACCACTTCTGCGTCTTTGAAAGTCGCACACTCGAGTATACTTGTATGCCATTGGGCTTGATTGATATCCCAGCTGAACTGGAACGCCAAGTTAATCAAGACTAAAGAAGCTGGCACGAAATGGGTAGATGGTTGTTCTAATGGACGAACTCTGAGCCTTTAGTTGAAAGTTCAAGAGCACCTGCAGTACCTAAGGCGTGTGCTTCAGCTGTGTCAGGACAGGCGCTGGAACGATAAGGCACGCAAATATTTTTTCAGCTGTGCTTTTGGGACTCTTTGTTTCGGATGCAGGAATTAAGCCAGATCCGGCAAAACATGATCCAGTCAAGTTCGGCCTCTGCCTTTGCGCACCTGCAAGGACGTTGTAGAGTTCTGAGAGCCTGCCTCGTGATACCGCTTTTTAACTTTCAGGCTGGCTAGAATCGCTGGTTCAAAGGTGATGTACTTTGGAGAAAGCAGCCTGAGATCTGAACAGAGGCGGCCACTGCAGTAGCAAGGACACCTTTTACTCGACCTCACAACCCCTCGGGTGCTAGCGCTGCTCGACTTTAAGGTTGATACTTTCCTACAAATTAGTGCTAGGGGTATAGCAGTGTGTGTTGTTCTCTCCCAAGAGCCTACGAAATTTCCGCAACATCAGTTTACTGCTTCATATTCTCATCGCTTCACTAAAGCCGAGCAGCAGTCTCCAGTGCTGGAAAAGGAACTGAATGGGTTGTGGTGGCGCATTAAAAATTCCGACACTATAGATGGGCGCCGTTTTGCTTTCTACCTCATCCATCAGTCATACAGAATCTTACGAGAATATTTTGGGAACTTTGATAATCCTACACTTCTTCTTTGGCTAGTGCGTTGCCCACAGCACATCTTTGCAGTAAAGTGCATTTAGTTGACCACTTTCATGGTCGCTGACCCACTCTCGTGACGGCCCACCATTTCACTTCGTGCAGCGCAACCACTCTTTTTGTGATATGCATCTTACTTTTGACACAAAGGCATGCGCTACTCTGGCCAAAGTCCAGGTTGGCACAAAAGTGAAGCACCGCCACGTTCGCTGTGAGTTGATGTGGCGCGAAGGAGGACAAAAACCTCTTTTGTACATCCTGAATTAATCCCGCAGTTGCATTTTGCACAACTCACATGAATATGGCTCTTTAGGACTAGGTAGGATTCACAGGGCAGTAAAATGCCGGCAACGTCCTTCTGGTGGCCTAAGATACGCCCCACGACGGACGAATTCGGATCAGTATACCCAGATTGTCAGCAGCTGAATCCGAAAAATTTGCAAACACAATGCCTTTTTCAAGGCCTTCTGAATCCTGAAAGGACTTGGACCGACCTGACTGTCAAATAAATCTTTAGACTGCCCGAGTTCATGCTTCAGTAAGTCGCTATTATTCTTCATTAACCTCCGGAATCTCAGGGACTCCCCAGGAGTATCACTGCGGATAAGGATCACATTTAAGCGCGTTTTGGCGCCTTTATGACTCACTAACACTCCGACCATAATATGATCATTGCGTGCTCAATTGAGACAGAAGGGCACACAAAGCGCACCAACCGCACTCTTGTGCAACATTGGCGTCTCTGCGCTTGCAAAATTCGATCGATTAGCTTCACTTTTCCCTTGTGCTTAGGGGATGTACAATGCTACACTACACTCATCTCGCCCATCGCTCTTCCGAATCCGTGGTCAACACACCGGTGCATCCCTTTGAACCAGGCCTAGAACTGGTAGTCCGGGATCAGCAGCCAGCCTTCACAATAAAGAAATTCAGAGAACAGCTTGCCAGCACATGCAAATGTATGTTCGAAACCCACAGATACATGCACCCAACTGTACTAACTGGCACGCGTGTGTGTGCCTTATGCCTGTAGATTTGGTTCTGGTGGATCGGGAGGCTTTGATGAGCTGAGCCAGAAGGCGAACAGGCGAAAGCGTTGGCAGCCAGGCCCGGCAATAAGCATTTGCCAGTTTCTCCCGAACCATCGCACTCTTACGCACTGTCGATCTACCTACTTTGTAAAAATGTCTAAATTTATCTATAAAAGGTTCCGACACACCTTGAATTGTTCGCAGACTTGCCACATAAATAAGTGACTGGTGTGGTGGCCAAGGATTCCAAAAGAAGCGTAGAGATGCTGAACTCTAGGATTGTAGAGCGCCGAAGACACATCAGCTGGGAGCTGCTAGTGGAATAAAATGGGTAACCCAATTCTAGTGGGTCAAAAAAGGCGCAGCTGTGGGCATCATTCACAACCGTTGTTCCGATGCACAGTACTACTAGCGTGTCCCAAAGAAAGCTCAAACATTTAAGCGCTTCACTCAGAGCCTAGCATTAAATCGCTGTGTTTGTGGTTTTATAAGAACGTTGCCTGCTTTATATTAATGAGCATGGATAAGCGGCTTCGGTATCACCGAAGGACCCTACGAGGCTCGATTGCACCCGTAACAGGTATTGAAGTTCGGCGTCCGTTGGGTCCTTTGCTATCCTACTGCGGCCCTGCACGAAAATGAACCCTCAATGACAGTCCACTTTGAAACCGACGTATAGCAATGTTACGGTTCTGTCGGTAGTCTCCCCAATACAATGGGACAGGAATGGCTCCCAGTGCGAACTAAGTGTGCGCATGTGGAAATTTGCAGACCGGATAAGCACTCAAGTTCCCCCAAAACCCATGAAAGTCCAGCTCAGTAACAAAAACCCTTTAATGGTTTTATGGAAGTGGATCCGATCGGTGTATGCACTAACCCTTGGAACTAACCTATTTTTTTCCACTCTTTCACGCTCACTGAGCCAGCTGGTGCACTGCTACATGTCGGACGCCAATAACCCTAACAAGAGTCTACGTTACTAGCAATGGTTCAATGCTTCAAAATCACAGCCAAGTATATGTAAAATCATTCCTTGGAAGCTAATTTGGGGATTCTGGAGTAATGGCTCTTTAATTGGCCTCGTGAGCGTCAGTGTTGCTCCATCCACAAGCAGCTAGCTTGGAAGGCGTCCAATACAACTTCCATCTCCAGCCATCTACGTGATTGAGTTCAAGTGTCCTATCAAGCTTATCTAGGGAAGAATTCCACACAATTATTGCAATAATTGGAAACATCCTTCCATATAATTATTTCAGCTACGTAAAGTCCTTCCTAGCGTGCGTTCCAGACGAATTTGCGTTTGCACAAAACTTCAGCGGCTAATGGCGCCGATAGGACTATTCGACCGTAAATGCTAATGCTTAGAATGCTCCTCCAACAGCGAAGCAATCGTGTGGAGGTGCAAGGGTAGTTCGCTACCGATTTTTACCTTCGTTCGTTGTTGGCTAGTATGTTTAGTTTTCTCCTCTTCGGTCTCCTTTGCCCGGTTTTGGTGGCATTGCCCCTCTCACGTGCATCTTTGCGCCGCAGTTTAGCCTAACGGGAAACTGCCAATGGGGAGGAAATCTTCACCGTGGTGTGAGACGTTGATCACGACGTACCGATAGGGAACACGAGCGCGTGTGTTTTGAATGAAAAAGGTAGATATAGCAGTATAAGCTTCAGCTGGATATTTTCCATCATATTAGCTATACTTAACTAGGGATTAGTAAAGATTTGGCCATTCGGTATGGCTGTTCGTGTATCTTGCTTGTTGGGGGACAGCAGTTGCTCGATCTAAGAAGACACAATGTTGTTAGCGGCCAAGCTAAAGTATATATGCAGCTAGATATGAATGTTAGGAGTTCTTTGAAGGCACAGCATGCTCGCTCTATCTGTAGCGCCCCGTGTAAGGTCAATGCAAGGATGCTTTAATACCTACACATAAACGAGAAAGCCCTCGAATGTATTTACAGAAAAGTTCGCTCCTTCCCCTGCCCATAGCCCTCAAAACCACAAAGTGAGGGGAGACAGACTCTTAGGGTAAACTTGCTGTACCCTCTGAGCACTCCCAGTATTTAACGAAGGCTTCAGATAGCATGTATAGCAGACGCATTTAGCATGTATCTTTTTTATTGGTGAGAAGCGTTAGCTCGATACAACAAGATGCAATATTGTATGCACAGTTCAAACTTTACGAATTTTCAGTCGAATTAAAACAGTGTGGTTTAAAAGATTTACCCATGTAAGTTAGCCCGCTAAACTAGCCCGCCCTGCTACCCGTATTGCGGGGACGAAGGCAGATAAAGAGGAGAGAGTTTTTGGCAAATCACTCACTGCTTATTAAGTGGGTAATATTTCTTGAGTTATGTAGTCCCCTGCGGCGACCGTGGATGAAGCAATACATGCATATATGACCCCGTCGTGAGCGTAGGCAAAAGAGCTGGGTGCACACAGTTTATTCAGGGTACACCACAGATTTGCTGTAAAGAGGTAGGCCTCCCCAGTAAAGTTTGCCTTCAAGTAACACCAAACCCCAAGTGTTAAGCTGTAGTTAGGTTGCTGCAGGTGTATACTAGTCAGATAACAACTTAATCCCGCAGTCTTTTTGCCTGCTAGAAAGAAAACAGAAATATCCCCTAAGAAATCCTCGACGAAAACAAAAATATAGTGTTAAGCCCTCCGCTGCACAAATATCAAACTCTAGAAGACTAAGTGGCAATCCTTGGGCATGACTGAACGATACTTGGACATCGAGGCCCGAGAAAAGATCACCAGCAACACGCGATTGATGTGCGGGCAGGACGGTGCTTTAGTTAGTAATTTGAAGTATAATAGCATTCGTAGCCCAGATACTGTGCTATATTGCTTGTTATTCTAACGTGCTTCTCTGCAACCAAGCGATGAGCTGTCGGCGGCGGCCCCAAGCGGTCTTGCATGCGCCGTTTGCTGTCCTCTGCTCTGCTGCTGCCACCTCCGCCCCCCCTGGATGTTCAGTTCTCTTTACTCTTCTGTCTCTAAGCCTTCAGATTCCCTAGCCGTCTATGCAACAGCAACACTTGAAGAGCCAGGCTGCTGCATTGGACCGTGGTGCCCTCTCTCCGCGTGCAGCTGCGGTGCAGTTGCAGTTGAATATTGTGGTTGCCTCCAGAAACATATCTACTGGCTTTAAAGGGAGCCCAAGGCAGTTAGTGCAGGGCCTAGTAGGCCTTTAATTTACAGTCACCCTACCCCCCTTGTTCCATGCCGCTAGCAGTTGCATCCGCTTTGACCCAGTTGACCCCCGTTTTATCGCACCGCTTCAGATTGTGCCCTCGAGATTTACTGAGGAGCGTTTGATCAGAGAAGGAATATCTCGATCATCTGCTTTCTGGGGCCACTAGCACTGCTGTAAAAAGGATCCATCACGTCACAAGAGGCCCAGTCTCAACAACTTTTCTAGGGGCTCCTTTTTCCCGCCAGGGGCCCCCCGCTGCCGCTCCGATGTTACCGCAGCTACCACACGACCCGGCTGTTGTTGCTGTTTCCGTCAATGGCGCAACAACAGCTCAACATGTGACAGTACCGAGCGCTTCGGCGAGGGCAGCAGAGGAAGAAAAGGAGAAAGGCCCCCCGTCGGCGCTCGTTCAGCTTTCTCGCACCGTTCTATCTCTTAAGTATGCGTTCAAAACCCACTGCGGAGACCTGAGATCTTTACTCATCTACCCTATTCGTGTTCGTGGTTTTTGTTCCAACACACCTAGGAATTGTTTATCGACGTATTTATGCCTTTGTGTTCAGGTGTCTGCACAGCTATGACACAAGCGTTAGTCATATTCTGTGTCAGGTTTCGTTTGTGGCACTCTACCGCTTGGATGTCTCCCGCAAAGTTTGGAACAAAATGGATGTCGTGGGGGGCCTCCACCTGACGCAACGCCGCGTTCCCGTGGGAGCTCCTCAGCCTCCACCCCGCCCAGGGGCCCCTTCTTGGGGCTGTCTAGTCCTCCCTAATCATGAGCAGCCCATTTCTGGGGAGATGTATCTTCGGTTTGGAGGAGACAAGGCCGGCCACCCCAAAAGCTCTTTACTTGATACACTTGGAACAGCAGCAGCAGGGGTCGCAGGAGGAGCAGCAAAGTATCGCATGTTTATCATCAACCAATGTAGGGAAGAGATATTTTTTCAGGACATCTTTCCAGGGCCCAACTTCATTGTGGAGAGCGGACCCAGCCATGTTTTCTACAAGATACCTGAGGGAAGAGAGGTACCTGGCTGTCATTGATGCTGCTGAAGCCGCGCTCGGATATTTAGTTCGGAGCACACGTGTAATGTGAATAGACCTGAGTGAGACCGCATGGTGCCACTTCGTTGAAGCGGCAACTGCTCTTTATATATAACCTCCAGATGTCTTGGCTCAGAGGCTTCAGCAGCTGCTACTCGTGCCGCAATATTGTTGCCACTTCCTCTCCTCTGTGTACTACAGCTATGTATTCGAAGGGCCACTTCGTTCCTCTGGTACCCTTCTTTTGGCTTGGTTGCGATTTCTTCTCTTTTGACGGTATTTGTATGCGCTCTCGTGGGATGCTGCAATTACAGGACCAGTATGCAGTGTATGGACTGTGGATGCATAGCGACGAAGAGCGCCTGCGCTTGGAAGCAGCGTTGCATGAGGTACTGCAGTCCGAGGGCGCAGAAACGCAGACCGGCAATAAAACTAAAGGGCATTTGGCTACCCAAGGTCTGGCTTTATTCCCGGGGATGCCACAGCAGCAGCAGCAGCTCCAAATGATGAAAGAGCATGAGCGAATGGCGCAGCAGAAGCTGGCAAGCAGGGTTGCTTTTGAGGAAACAGAACGCAAGGGGAGAAAGGCAGAAAGGGTAAGCTCTTACTTCTGGTGGCTCTTGCTCGTGCCTCAAGTGCTACTACTGCTGCTGCTGTCTTGGGTACCACTGGGTCTGGCATGGAAGCTGCTTTTTTCCTGGAGGCTTTGAACTGAGCTTCACGAGTGGATCTGTTGTTGCTGCTGTTACCACAGGCCCTCTTGTCTTTTTTGACTGGCAGTGCCTCAAAGTCTTCCGAGGCAGCCGCTGGGGGCATTCCTGCTAAGTCATCTTCTACAGCCGCAGATTCTGCACCAGAAGCGACATCCGGCGCAACTCCAGCAACGCAGAACGCACCTGTAGCTGTAGAAGCCAGCGCAGTAGTACCTTCGAGAGGAAGAAGCGTTCAATCGACTCCCGTGAAGTCTAGCGAGGCCATCATTGCTATGCTACTGCAACAACAACAGCACGAGCCAGTGCAGCAAGAACACCAGCACGTACAGCTGGAGCGACCGTTGGGAGACCAGCGGAGTCCACAGGGGCAGGCAAAGCAGCTGCAGCAGCAAAAGCAACAGCAGCAGGAGCCAAAACAGAAGGGAAGAAGGATACAGGATCCAATTTTTATTCCTTCTTCTGGTGCTGCCGATCCTGGCATTTTCCCTGTGCAGGTTGAGGCAGAGCCAGCGACTGGCACCCACGCTGCAGTGCCTGCAAACGACCCTGCAGCGAGAGTGCCCTTGGTGCCAGCTGCTCCCAGCGTTGTGCACACCTATCCAAAGCAGACATCTCAGGTGTCTCTTTTGCAGATGCTCAAAGTGCGTCGCCCCCGATATCTCGCCGTGCTGTGTTGGCTGGCCTGGCTAGCCAGGAGGGGGCACCTGTTCTCTGCTCTAAGGTGTGCTGTGCTGCTGCATAATCCTTCGCTGACCCTGCTTCTGTGCGTCTTTTGTACCGCAGCGTGAAGTTCCGGGAGCCACGCCAGCAGCAGGCGGAAAAGGAACAAAGTCGCCACCAACAGCCACCCCAGTTGCAGTTTCAGCACCAGCAACTACAGCCTCGATGACAGCAGCACCAGAAGACGATGTCCTCGTAGTTACGCGTGCTGACCTAAAGTCTGCGATTGCTGCTGCTCTTCATACCGACGAATTTCAACAGCTAGTGTGGCAGGAATTGTGGCAACAAAGAAATCAGCATCAGCCGCAACAAGAACAACAAAAACGACAGCATAATCAGCAGAGTCAACTGAGAAATAACCGCAGTCGGAAGAAGGAGGGCAGCTCTTCGTGCCCGTGACAGGCCCCCTAACCTGCTTGACGTGCCCCATTGCTTTTTTTGCAGTAAAATGGCCCAGCCTCTTTAGAAGGGGGGATTTGCTGCCATTTAGCTACTTAAAGTGCTGGTGGATCGCAAACCAATAGACGCCGTGGTGAATTATGTGCTCTCTGGCTAGCTTGTTTGACACATAACCTGGTAAAAACAAATCGTAGCTACGATGCCTTCTCAGCTAGGGCATAGCTTGGCTTTATACGGACGCTTTGGTGCCTGTGTTACCAATGCCCTTTCACGGGCTGCTGCACGCTGGCGGTACTCTTAGTGTAGTGGGGAGTAATTTCGTAAAAGCGTTAGCTTCTAAACTGCATAGCACAGCAATAAGGTGGTTTTCGTCTCTCAGCACTTGGATGCGGCAGGTCATCTTCCTGGGTAGCTGGGTTGCTGATCAGCTGCATCAGACTTAGGCTAGCTACTACAAGTGCGGGAAAGGGCTCTGGCATAGGCAATTCAATACTGAGCCCGGTGCTTCTGGTGCTGACTGCCTCGCGTCGTATGCGCTCAGAGTTTAGACCTCTCCATGCTGTTGTTGTTGCTGTTTCCGATCCCTGTCTTTTCCTTGTCTCTTCCGTGGTTGTAGGAAGAGTGTGAGGACGGAGCACGGACCTTTAGCCTGGGGCACTACCGCCGGTTGTCCTACGTCGCAAAGCAGCTGCTGTAGTTGTTGCAACAGTGGAAGGTGGTTTTCTGGGTTCAATCTTTCTCGTCCACGCAACTGCAGTGTAAATTTGACCTAAATCAAACAATCACCCCACCTGATTCGAAGTAGAGAATGAAAATAAAGTGTTCAACCACTTAAATTGGGCAGGTGCACTTGTGCTTCCACATGTAAGCAGCAATTTTGCTTGAACTCATGAAGTTACGCCTTTATTTTGAGCGTGTCTCGGTCTCGTCGTGAAGGGTGGTATGAGCTGAGCGTTCATGTCTTCATGCAGGAGTCAGAAAGGAATGGGACTTCGAACTCTTGTGCATGCTTCACTATAACTCAAAGGCCAAATATCGGGGGAGGCCTTAAAGCTTGCAGCTCTTGCTGTTGCTGCTGCAGAGCGCACCTGGTGCTTCCCCTCGAGGAAGAGCCGCGCCTGACGTGCTTTCTGCTGCAAATCCCCATGAGCTATCCTATGAAGGCGACACCGTGGGACGAAAAGGAGAATGGATTACACAAGAAATAAAGCAGCAACACCTTCACTCGCGAACTTAGCTGGCAGCTCCATTTGCTCACTCCCAGTATGCGCAGAGGAGAGACAAAGTGGGTAAGGTATGCATAAAACCTAAACGAGCAACCAGAAGGATGTATGCCTCCATGTGGTGCCTGCAGTGTCTGTAAGTTCAAGGCGTACCGAGCACTCAGCTTTATTTCTTTTTTTCGCGGTTGTCGTGCAGCTCTCTGTCGCAGTGCTCGAATCTGCAAAGGGCAACTGCAGATGCCAATGGACAGTACAATAGCTGGAGGTGATTCACAAACACCCTCTGAGTCTGCATCTATAGAAAGGGGCAGTCTAATCTATGCTTAAACTCCGATGTTGCTTAACGTCTGGGTGGGGGGGTTTTTAAGACTGATTTCGCTGTGGGATAGTGAGACAATGACAAACCCTTTGGTAATTTGCTGCTGCGTCGAGTGGGCCTTTGTGGAGCAGCAGTTCATCTTCATGTTGCTGCAACAGCTGCTGTCCCCCCTGAAATTCCGACAGATTTGGCACTGTATTACGTAGCCGCAGATACTCCTCCGCATCCAGCGGAGCCCCTCGGGCCCCTAGAGGGGCTAGGCGTACCGACGAAGGGGATGTCTTTGGTTTGTTGACAAGCCAGTGGTGGTACTGCTCAAGTGAAAAAGAGAACCTGAAACATGAACGAGGTCCCCATGGGGTGTCTGCAGCTCCCCAAGCCAGCTGGAAACCCACTGATTTCGTGGTTTGCAGGAATGCGCAGGCAAAAACGAGCCGAAACAGGAGGAGTGGTGCGCCCTGCATGACGCTTGCTTGGCCAGTGCTTAAAGGCCACTGGGATACATGTACACCCAGTTACTGGGGTCCTCTAGGGCCCTCAGAGCACTCGTAGTAATGGCATGAGCGGGGAGATCAGGGGTACCTTCGCTTGACTGCTCACGCGTGGGGAAGATACAAAAAATAGGATGTAAGCAGCAGACTCGAAGAAATTCAGGGGAGGTTGCAGACAAAGAACGAGACTCAAAAGAAAAGACATACGGGAAAATGCAAACGGGATGACGTCGCGTCGGCTGCGGTGTTGTGGAACGCCGAGCCCAAAGGAGACAAAGAGGACAACCTTACCAGCATACGCCTTTGAAATAGAGATAAAATATGATACATCAAAGAAATCACTCAAGCGAGTCGGAAGATACAATGGTCAAATTGGCTTCCCAAGGCCCTTTGTGGGGCCCCCGGTGGATTTCCCCTTCTCTCTTTCCTTGTTTCCGTCTATTATCCGTCCCCTTTTCGCTTCGCGCTACAATACACAGGCACAGGGGGCGGCCTTGCTTAGAGTTGCATTGCCTTATTGGGAAAACCAAAGGCTAAACAGGGTGCAAGTGTGTCACACCACAGGTCTGATAAATGGCGTGCTTGCGCCTTCGTTCAGTGGTGTTCGCTATGATCGGGGTATCGCCCCTCCAATTTCGTATATAAGTAACTTGAAGGGGCCTTCTACTGCAGCACCTTCCCCCGCACTCCGGACCGCGATTCTTGCGTTTCTTGTCATCCAGTACAAACCCGCGTCGACGATATCCCAAGGCTCCTGTAGCTCAGTGTCTCTGCTTCGTGATGGTCCATATAGGGCCCCGTCCGTGTGATCGATGGGCTCTAGCTCAACACGTCTCGCTATTTCTTACTTATGAATGCTGCAGGGGGACCCCCACGTCTTAGGGGGTTTCCGTCGCCCTCCCCCATGTTTCAATATAATCCCATGACGAGGCTCTTTGGGAAACGAGGGGTGCCCCTGCTACTGCTAAAGCACCACGTAGCAGCAGTGACCATGGTCTGCCTAGTGTTGCTGGATAGCAGCGTTGCAGCCTTCTCCCTTCCCGATCACGGGGTAAGACCCACTCTGCAATCCTGCGACAACAACTTTGCCTTAAGAGTGCCCGCAGTGACAGCAGGTGCCCAGCCCCCCCTGCACCTCTCTCCGCCACGCTTCCAGCCTGCCGCAATAAAGGCGGCACCAACGAATGCAGGAGTAGCACCAGCCTCACCATCAGCTCTAGCAGGAGGAGGATCGGAAGCAATAGAGCCCCGAGAACCCCTCGGCAGCTCATGTTTGTTGCATGTGCGGCTACTGAGCCTCAACTTGCAGAAGATGGTGCGCTTCTATACTCAACTGATGAGCATGCAAGTTTTGGCAGAGTGGGAGCCTCAGGATGTGACCCTTGGGGAAATTCCAGAGCACCATCCTGAGGACGCACCTCTGCTGTGGGGACCCCTCAGCGGAAAGGTGGCGTTGCCAGCGGGCAGCCTCCTTCCTGTAGACAAGGTCGTGCTTTTAGGGTATAGGGATGAGGAAGGTGAAAACGGGGGACTGATTTCTAGGGGAGAGCAACGGGGCCTCAAGCTGGAGCTTATCTACAGCAGCAGCTGGGCGCAGCAGCAGAAGGAAGCAGAAGCAGAAGCAGCAGCGGCGCTAAGGAAGGAGGAGGCTGCTCTTCTCTCTACTGTTGCAGCATTCAAGAAAAATATCGCTGGGGGGCAAGAGGCAGGTAGCAGCAGCGGCAGCAGTTTGTTGCCCAGTTTGCCGCGCATGAGAGCGTTCGAGCGGCGGAGGGGACGGTATGATCGAGGCCATCACGGCTTCTTTGGACTCTCCTTCCTGCTGCCTTCACTGCAGCGCCTGCAGCCGCAGCAGGTGCAGCAGGCTGGAGGGAGACTGCTACACTGTCCAGCTAAGAGGAAGCAGGTCCCCTCTATGATCCCCGACCAAGATGTGAGGCCACTGAGCTCCTTCCCTTCTTGAAGATCCACTGGGGAGGGGGCAAGATTTACCTTTTAGAGTTTACAGCTTGTTGTTCTTGTGCAGGCTCGGCAAGAGCTGTGGGGTCAGAGTTGTTTTCTGTTAGACCCGGACGGAAATGGTGTTGAAGTGCAGCAACTGACCACCAGCAGCAGCTGCAGCAGCCTAGGCCTCAGCGAAAAATCAAGAAAGCAGGAGGCAGCAGTAAATACGTGGCAGTCGTACATGGCAGAGCAGGAAGCAGACATAACTAGACAGAAGAAGAAGCAAGAACTGTTGCAGCAGCTTGACAATATTAAAAACCAGCTCCTACATCATACGCAGCAGAAGCAACAGCGTCAAGGGGAACCGAAGCTTGTAGAGCGGTTGAAGCAGCAGCAGCAGGAGCTTCAGGAACAACTGACAGTCTTCGAGCAACAACAGCGTGTAATAGATGAACTGGAAGAGCAGCAGAGGCAGCGGCAGCAGCAAGAGGAAGCACGAGCAGCCGGTACTGCCTTGCAACATAAGGGACCTCTCTCTCCGCGGCTACAGAAGGTAGGGGAGGTCACGATCTGTTTTCGGTTATGCTACGGCGCATCTGGCACGTACATCTCCAGTTGCGCCTGTGTTACACAGTTGCTGCTGTGCAATTTTGCTGCAGTGTTGCTATAACTGCTGCTATCGTGGGTGTGTTTTGTGAAGGTTCGCCTCTTCACGTCCTCGCACGTGGCAGCGGATCGCTTTTTTGGCACTGCTCTGCAAATGAAAGTGCGTTGCCCGAGTTCAGGACTACAGTAGGCTGTATATTGTTCAGAGATGCAGAAATGGCTGCAAACAGGGGGAATACACTTTACCACAGAATCATCGAGAGCCAGTAAAGTAGCACACGGAAGGAGTGACGGAGGCAGGGGTGGACACGTCACAGCCATGTGTGCGTTGAGCTGCTTTTGAGCTCCTCCTGTTCCTCTCCATAGGGTTAGGAGATATGAGTTTTTCTATGCGTGTAGTAACTGCTGCAGCTGCTGCGATATAAGAGCCATCTACTAGAAAGGCTGCACCCCTGGACCCGGTTTGCTGCAACAAGCAGGACATACGGCTGCGAAGCACAGACCATACAGGCTAAGGCAGATGCTGATGAGGGAGCAGCAGCAGCTGCAGCAACAGCAGCAGCAGCAGTTGCTGCTGCAGGAGAAGAAGGTCTCTTTGGGGGAGGCTCGTCGGTTCCGACAGAGTGGGAGGGCTCTGCAGCAAATGATCCCCCAGCGGCAGCAGCGGAGGTGTTCAGGACAGAAGCAGCGGAGAGGACCGTTCCGCAGCTGCAGGTTGCATATGCCTTTGACGAAGATGTGGTAGGCCTGGCTATGTTTTAATCTCCCGAGTGAATTCCCGTGATGTAGTTACCAGTATGATGGGAATATAAGAAAAGCCGTTTTAGGACCGAAGTCTTTATTCTGCTGAGGTACAGTAAAAGGTTATGGTATGCATGAACCCAAAGGGCTTAATAGCAGGAAATGCAACTATGGGGGCACTAGGGCTTTACGCTTCGAAGAGGATCCCCCTGCTGGTCCTACACGGGGGTACTCACCGCTGCAGCAAGTGACGTCATCACGTGTGGAAGTGTGTCGCTACGTGCGCTTTGGCTACTCAGGTGTCTGTGCATCCCGGATTCATACACGTTGCGCTGGGGGTAAAGGACGTTCCAGCGGCAGCTAAGCACATAGCCGCGACGGACCTGAATGTCTCAGCGGAAGCAGCAACAGCAACAGAATCAGCAGCTCTAGAGAGGGAAAAGTGCCAACCCTGCACCGCTTCGCCCTCGGGGCCAGCCCACTTTGGAGGGATGGAGATTGTGGGGGATGCAGAAGACATATCGAAGCCGACAAAGGTGCACAGCGTGTGCCCTGAAGAGTGTCTTGTGCAGAACTTTGACGGATATCCCATTCTTCTGGTGACCGAGCACCAGGCTGATGCCTACTACCGTTACCTTCAGACCGCCCGTCAAAAGCGGTGAGGAGCACTGCGGGAAGAGACAACTCGTAATTTCGCACTGTAAACAGCCGGTGCTGCTGCGAACCCGGTTTTGCAGGGGCACGTGGAAGTGCAACATGTAATCAGCGGGCGGTCCGCCACCTGCAGTGGTGGTACGAGACATTGGTGTTTTAGCAACTATAAGAAGACAGAAATCGGTAGGCATGAAACAGATCCGCAGTCAAATAAACAATTGGACAAGAACTCGTATTGGTTTTTTTGTAGTGGAGAGGAGTACTATAGACGTCGAAAGGCAGGCGTAGAGAACGAGGGGCCGAGAGGCACACAGGGAGTTAGGAACACAAATGAAGAGAAGTGGCAGCCTTTCTGAAGAGGGATGGGATGTCCAGAAGAAAACGGGTGCCGGTTTGGTTCGACTGGTGCCTGCTGAAACAGTTCAATATTGTCTCTTAGCAGTTGCGCAATGAACTGGTTGCCCGCAACTCATGCTACAAAAAGGCACGTATCTGGGGATTAGAGGAGACAGATGGAAGGAGGGTTGATGTGTAGGGCGAGGCAGCACTAAGGGCTAGATACTACTTCACAACTTGGAGGTTAACGCTCCTAGCACGAAATGTTTTACTAATGTTTCTAAAGCAAAAGAGTCCAGAGTTTAGTGCCTGATTGGCAACACCGAGAATTGAACTTTCGATGCAAACGGAAAAAGGCACAAGATGAAAGTGCAGCAGCAATATCAAGAAGAGACGCTGAAGCAAAACCGGTAGGAGGAAGAGAGTCTAAAGTCATGATGGACCTCTCCCCCGGCCAGGGATCGTAAGCAACGGTGGGTGGACTCTACAGACTCCGATGAGACGAAGACGGCAAATAATAAACACAAATGTATGAAAACACAATGAAGGCCATACTGTCAGTCTGCGGTATAAGAGCAGCTGACACAGGCATTACTGCATAAGAACCGACGCCCAAAATGAAGACTGGCGGGGGGCAAGATAAAACAACCCCACCTCGATGCAGCGCACGATACTGATCTGCAATGAAAAGGGCTCGGGGGGGCAACCCTAAAAGGCCCCCGTGAAGGCTCTCTACCAGAGGGCAGAGATGTTGCTGCTTCACATCGTTGCCACAAAGCTGCGGAGGGTACCAGGTGCCCGCAGATATAGGCGACAAGGCACATGGGTGGTGGTACAATAGCCGGGTCCCCTGTCGGTGTATGGTGGGTAGTGACAGGGGCGCGGATCGATTCAACAAGGGCACAATAGCTGCGCGTGACAGAGGTAAAAGAAAACCAATGATTAGAGTTGAAGACCGCCGAGGCCTTACGAGGGGTTCGTTTCGGGGCTTCGGGGAAGTGAAAGAGTACAGGGCCCGCTTGTCCCGGCAGCTGTTGGCGGCTTTGTTGTACTTGTTGCAGGTGTTGTACTTGCTGGCGAAGGTGCTGCTGAGGTATGGGTGAGGGCAGATGACTTTGCGGTTGTTACAGCACTGGATGAAATCGCACGGGCACTGGCAAGTGAGGCCCAAACGGCTTCAATTACCTTTGGAGGCAGCTGCTTGGTGATGTCGTCTATTTGCTGTGTAAATCAAACATAGCACAACAAGAAACACAGTTGCGTCTCAATTAGAAGGTTTTCCAGGGCTTCGTCGCAGCCACCGAAGCCCTGCTGTCTGTTTTAAGAGGTATTAGGTCAACACAGTGTACAGCTGCTTTCCATGTACCATGTAAAAAAACACTATTCTGCTGTCCGTGCAGGTGCCTCCATCAGCAAAGCGCAAGAGCGCTAGCAGTAGAAGCCGCAGAACAAGCAGCGGCACGAGACACATCGCAAGGAGACTGGCAATGCTGGTGCCCAAGATATTCAAGCCTTGCTCACCGCCAGTAGTAGTTCAACGCTGGGATCACATGAGTAGGAGTCTGTGGCCTGCTTGTCGGGCCACTCACCACCACCCCAAGTGGAATCCTTATAGTCGCCACTGCTGCAACCTTGGAGAGGTCCTTGCTGCTCGTTCCCTTCAGTTCTCTTCTCCTTGGAGCTTCTGCTCTGGATCTCCCGTTGTGAGGCACCAGGTCCTGAGGGTGCCAATCCAGAGGTTTCTTGCTTTTCGTTTATGACACATGGTAGCATCGGAATTGGTGAGCAAGCTTGAGAAAGACTTTGTATCTGATTGCCTTGCTCGGGTCCGCCACAAGGCCTGGATGCGCATTCTTCCGACTCTGCATCGCCTTCCACCTCCTCTCTTTCGAGATTTCTAGATACAGTCTTGCTACACTTGACTCCTGGTGAACCCTTCGACTTATATGGGGGAGTATTTTGCAAGGGCTCAGAGGGAGCTTCTCCGCACCTAGTCACAGAGGTATTGCGGATCGTTGCGCACTGCACTTGGGTTGTTGCTCCCCTAGGTTCACTACTGGAGGCTCTGCGGAGGCCTTCATAAAAAGGCAGACATGGGCTCCGACCTCTGCTCTTCTGTTCGACCGACCGGGAGCCACTGGTTGCCCATGGAGGAGAAGACGCAACAAGTGATGCGGCATTAGGGGCAGTTCTCCCCGCCTGTGTCAAAGCCCCCTCTCCAGGAAGGCTTTGGCGGGGAATGGTGTCGCGTCCCTTCTCCTGCGGACAGTGTTGCTGTGCACTATCTCGTACCCGCTTTTGATGAGGTGCAGCAGGAAGGGCACTTGCAGAGGGAGCATGCACTGACGGAGTGTTGGTGACACTGAGTGCTGCGGTGCCAGTTGGCACAGCTTGTCGGCCCTCATGCAATTGTGGAGGCGATGTAGCAGCCGAATGCGGAGGCGCAGCGGCTGGGACGGTCTGCACTTGGCTTTCCAGCACAGCAGCCGCAGTGGTATTAACACTTGAGAGAGCTTCTCCTGCCGATGGTGCCATGGCGAAAGTCTGGGTGGAGAGATGCGAGGAGTCACTACCTTGTAGAGATGCAGAGATTGCGGTCTCCCCGCCTACTTTTGCGGAAGCTGCGCAGATGGGCTTTCTAACTTTTGCGGTTTGCCCTGCTGCACGCTCCTCCCGCAGCGAAGGTGCCTGATGGTCTAGCTGGGTAAGACTGGCGCATGAGCTCCCCCCCAAATATCTGGGCGTCGAAGGACACGACTGATGGGCTGGCTCTGACTGAGGGAAAAAGGAGAGCCTGCCATCCGTGCTACAAGCCTCGTGCGGCCCGCAAGATGTTAGACCTCGCACAAGGGAAGGGAGCCCCATTTGGTGAGCACGGCGAGAAAAGGAACGCGGGGATTCCCGACCACCTGTACACCAGCTGTCTCCCCTGTCCAAAGGCGCCTGACGAGGGCATGGAGTATGAGAATGCGAGAGGGTGAATGCTCTTTCATACGCTTCACTCCCGAATGACTCACGGGGCAGCATTAGCTCAGACACATCCATCTCGAAATATGAACCTGTGCTAGGCTTCAGGAGTCCGGGCATCGAGAAACCCCCACTGGGGTCCCCGCAATCGAGATGCTGCCGGAACGCGTTCTGGCACTGAAGAGGGGATTGCTGCTCTTGCTGCTGATTCTTGCTGCTGTCTGATAAGAACTCTCCTCCAGCTGTGGCTTCTTCGGTGGAGTCTCTTTTCATCTTTTGATCCAGATCCACCCCCGCTCCTAATCCTGCTGGGGTTGGGCTCTCTATCTGGGCTTCCCTTGCCGGTGAAATGGATCTGGAGCTGTCCTTTGGGCTTTCCTCGATACCAAGATTTCCCAGGGATGACTCCCCATGTGCATGAAATGCTTGCTCAAGTGATCTAGGTTTTTCTTCAGTCTCCTTCCCTTGGGGAGTTGCGAGACTTTTGCAGGTCGACGGTGAAGGAAGCGAATCATAGCCAAGACTCACTGAGAGGGACGTTGTGGCTGTTGCATTAGAAGAGGTTCCCTCCCCTTGCTCCGTTCTCCATTGCTTGCCTCCCCCATCGCAGCCCTCTGGCTCTGCAAGACTCCAAGCTTCCTGCACAGCGACAGCAGGCCCCAGCTTGCATGTGACTACACCTGGGAACGGCATGAGGTCGTGAAAGCGGTGGAACTGCGTGTTGGGAACTCCATTACGCGTGGCACCACCAAACTTGAGTAGGGGTGGTCCTGATGTATTGGAGAGGTTTTGTTGATTCTCTGTCGTAATTTCAGCCACCGCACCCTCTTGACGGACCTCTATAGGCAGTCGCCGTCCGTCAAAGGGTTCGAAAGAGGGGAGGCATCTTTGTCCTTCAGGGCATGGGGCAGAGTGCACGCCCGGCATGAGATGTTGTTCGGGGAATTGAAGGGGACTGAAGTCATGCGAGCCCTCAATGCACTTGGGAAGTCGCAGGCATCGGCCTTGCTTCCCTCCATTGAGACTGTTAAGGGGATCTTCTATCTGGAGCGTCTGTTCTTGGTTATTTATCAGGCTTGGCTGCCTCTGAGCACTGACCATCGGACCTACCGCATGCATCTGGTGGGTGTGCTTGAGTGTGGGAAGCTCTAAGGGTCTCGCTGTGCAAGCGCTTCCCCGAGAAAGAGGTTCTCCAGGGTAAGGGCAGCGACCAGAAAGCTGCTCGCCTAGCTGTTGCAGCGTTTTCGGGTGGGCTTGCTGGGTGGCACTTGCGGATACTCGCTCGTTGCGAATGGAATGCGGTTCGAAAGACTTGGGGTTGTCCTTGTGGTCTCCATTCCTCAGCCAAAACTTCTCGCTATCCCCCTGCTGTCCGTCTAGACTTTGGAGAGCAGTTCGAAACGACTTTGTAGTATCGATCTCTCTGTCATTAGTGCCAAGGCCCGAGGTGAGTGAAGGGTTTTCCAGAGCGAACGGGGGGGGAGGGGCGTGGGCTTGGCTGGTGTCTCCCATAGTCTTTGCTAGCAACGCCAAGGTCTCCGGATCCCCGTTAGGGCACAATGGAGCAGGCCCAGGAATCGGGAGACCAAAATCATGAGCCAGCTTGTAAGCTACAAGGCGGCAGACCTCCTGTACTGTTTGCCCGGTAGGGGTGAAGGGGGCCATGAGAGAAACAGGAGAACGTTTGCTGGTTTCTACTTCATCTGGTGAGCCACATGCAGTGCTGCGGGTCGGTGTTGTGCAGGCTAGCCCTATTTTTTTGAATTGTACTTTTAGCTCTTGGTCTCCAATCACAAGGGCCGCCTTTTTGTACTGGACGAGTTCATAAGCTGCTTGTAGGGACGATAGCTCTACGAATGCATAAGGAAGGTAATTACTCCTTTCCCGCATCTCCACGCAGACAACCTGACCGTGTTCAAGCAAGAAGTTAATGGCTGACCGCAGACTCTCCTTACTAGTGCCAGGTAGCATGTTGCTCACGTATACGCTGCGACCATGGGGTGTGTTGGGTCTGTCTGCCTTCTTTAGAGCCAGGCTGGCAAGATCCCCACTCTCCCCGCTAAGGATGCTCGACTCCCGCTTCTGCCGTCGGCTAAGAGAAGCGTCCAGAGGCATCTTAACACCCAAGAGTCTCTCCAGCGGCTGCCGTACTGTGCGCTGAGGAAGACCCCACAGCGCATGACACAATCCGGCACAACAGAGCCCACTGAAATGTGCCACTCAGTATAGTGATGTTGCCGAACCAGAGGAGGCATCCGGTGGAGAAAAACACTAGCAAATATCACCACCTGCTTGTCACTCCGTCCTATTTTGTCCCTCTTTCGCAGTGTTGAGCAATGCAGACAGTAAGTGTCAAGCCTTTAAGTGAGTGCACTACCGGAAACACCAAACCATAAGCCTGTCAAAGCCAGTGATGCATGAAGAGTTCAGGGCTCAATGCTGTGCAACTAGCCTATTTGTAGCCAATACAGTAGCTGAGAAATACTTGACATAACTCCAA